CTCAAGAGCCAGGTGGTGGAAGAGTGTGGTGGAAGAGCTGCACTGGGGGAGGAGGACTTTCTTTAAATGCTAACTATAAGAAATTAGGTAGAGAATTTCATACCCAGACTATGCCTCTGATGCTGTGTGAACTTGGGTGAGCCTTTTTCCCTCTCTGAATAAGGCTGGATTTCTTCATTTAAGAAAAAAAGAAGCATGTGGAGAATCACCAATTTGATTCCCTTAAAGACCTCTAATTCTATAATAAAAGCAAAGGGGGTGCGCCTGGGTGGCTCAGTCAGTTGGGTGTCCGACTCTTGATTCGGGCTCAGGTCATGATCTCAGGGTTGTGGGAATGAGCCCTGTGTTGGGCTCCATGTGGAGCACGGAGTCCACTTGGGATTCTCTCTCTTCCTCTCCCTCTGCCCCTCACACTTGTCTCTCTCTCTCAAATTAATTAATTAAAAAATCTTTTTAAAAAAGAGCAAAGGGACTTATTCCAGCATTCTATTATCTTGTGATTTGGCTTCTCTGTTTTTTCCATCCTGTGAGCATCTTGAGGGCAAGAATTATCTTATTTATTCTAGAATTCATATCTCTAGCCAAGCACAGGGCTTGTCACAGAACAGGTGCTCAGAAGGTATACATTCATTCATTCAACAAATATCTGTTGCACACAAATGAGGGTCATCACTGTGCTGTGTGCTGTGGGTAAAGCACTGAGTAAATTAGATGCAGTGCCTGCTTTTTCAAACTGTATTGAATTAGGGGAGCAGAAAAGAAACAAATAAAAAGTGATAGTTAAATCCAACTGGTTGTAGATGCTACAAATACAATAATATTGGGTAACATGGTAGAGAGTGACTCAGGTGGGTGGTGGTCACACTTGGGCGGAACCTTTTGCAGACATGGAAGAGCATCCCAGGCAGAGGTAAGAACTAATGCCGAGGCCTGGCATGTTCAAGGAATAGAAGGATAGGCATGATTGAGGGAGAGGATGGTTGGAGGCAGGTCAGAGAGGCCAGCAGGAACTGATCATGTGGGATGTTGTAGGCCAGATGAGGATTTTAGATGTTATTACAAACTTGATAAGAAACTTTTGGAGGGTTATAATTAGGAAAGTGGCATGCCCTGGTTTTTAAAAGATCCCTTCAGCCCCTTGCAGAGAATGCATTACGGGGGTGAGAGAGGAAGCAGGGAGACCAGTGAGGAGGCTCCTGCAGATGGGGGCGGTGCAGGTGGAGATAAATGGTTACATTTGGGACACAGTTTGGAGAGAGAGCTGACAAGACCTGCTAATTTGTTGCAGCACACCCACCAGCTCCCGCCATTGGGATTCAGCACCACGGACAGCGCAAGCCTCGCAG